GGGCCCCCCCGCTTCTGGGCCCCGCACTGACCCTCACTCCACCGAGCCCGGTGCCTGCCACCCTTGGGGACATGGTGCAGATGGGCCCTTTCTCCCCCGCCCGCATCCCTGAGCTCCCCGTGGCCTGTGTTCCTCACAGAACCTGTACGAGAGCATCAAGAACGAGCCGTTTAAGATCCCGGAGGACGACGGCAACGACCTGACGCACACGTTCTTCAACCCCGACCGCGAGGGCTGGCTCCTGAAGCTGGGTGAGTGGCGGCCGGCGGGCGGGACCCGCGCTCGGAGCCCCCAGCCCTCGGCAGCCAAGGCCCCCGACCAAAGGCAGAAACGTTAAAGGCGAAGGCCGATGGGCCAAGTCCGCCCGCGGCGGCCGGCCGCTCGCCCCAGACTCGATGGCTGCCGCTTTGAGCCCCGCCCTGTCCGCACGAGGCCATCCTGTCCGTGTCCACGGCGGAGAATAACGCCCGGGCTGCACGAGCGTCCCAGAAAACTGCTCAGTTAGCATCCAGATACACCCCAGGCAGTTTTCTGCACCAGATGCAGGTGCATTTCCTGCGAGAACCTGCGTGCCTCTCTCTTGGTTTGGTGTGGCTGATTTTTGATGCGTGGTTTAAATGTGCCTTCTTGTTTTCCTTCTGCCTGTGGCTCCCACCTTTCTGTTCTGTGACGGGCTGTCCCTGCTTGTTCTGCGTTAGGAGGTACGTACCCAGTGGCTTCCTGCCCTCCCCTAGCTGCTCACTCCTCTCTCGTTCTCTCTCCCCCGCTGGTCTGTGTGAAGCTTTGATTTGTGGCTGCCATTCATCTGACCCATGTGGCTTTGGACTCGCTGGGGTTAGCGTCATGCAGGGCGCAGTGAATGTGACACCCACAGCCCTGGGGTGGCCGGAATGCCAGCCTTTCTGCGCCCGGGAGCGCATGGGGAATGCCACGTGGGAACGAGCTTGCCCCTCTGTGTCTTTAGGGCCCGAGCGGCCACGAGCCTGCTGGTCATCTCCAATTTCGTGCCTCACCGGGTGCCTCTCATACTAACCAAACAGCGCATGTCTGCACCACCCCTGGACAGGGCCTGGGGATGGTCAAAAGGATTCCTAACCATTGACACAGAAATAGAATAGCGTTGATATTTTCTGGGCAATTTTAGAAATTGGTAGGAGGGTCTTTTTGTTTTATTTTTACACTGGGCGGGGTGGGGTGGGATCTTGGCCTTTCTGTGACACGTCACAACTGTACGTCATCTGGGCACTCTGAGAGCACATTGTAGGATACCAGGCTTGAGAGAAGTCCGGCGATTTTGTGGTTTTAATCAAGGGGAGGGTAAAGAGGCGTGAAGGCCTGTGAAGGCCATGGCTCCGCCGTTCGGATTTGGGGTCTTGCTCTGACTTTTCTCTGGCTGCGCTGAGGTTTGGGAGAGTTCTGGACCTTGGCCTAGAAACCCAGAGCCATAGCCGTGGACCTGAAGGCCTGAGCCCCCTTTGAGATGCATCTGACTCTCTGGTCATATCAGTTCTGGGGCCCCCAGGGGAGGCCAGAGCAGGGACGTGTCCAAAACCCCCGCAGCAGCACCCGGGCCCCTCCCGGCCCTGCGTTTCCAGGGAACGCCCCTCGAAGGGCAGTGACGGCACAAGCCCGCCCGGCAGCTGGTGTGGCCTCAGCACCTGTGGGAGACGGACCTGCTTCTAAAGACAGAACAAAACGACAGGCATAAAGGCACACCAGGGCTTGCACCCCAGCCTGTGTCCTGGCTACTCATCTAATCGGGCCACAGAACCCGCGTCCAGAGCACCCTTAGGGGACAGAGCCAGCTGGGTGGTGAGTGGGTGCCGAGGGGCCCCGGGCAGCGGGCTCCTTCCGCGCTCCACCGCCGTGTGCGCATGCGTGAGAGGGGGTGGTCCCGCAGTCACTAAGCTAGTGGTGCTTGGTCACCCGCCGGCCAGCGGAGAGACTGCCCGGGAGCCCCCTCCCCAGACGCACAGCAAGCCCGCTGCTGCCTCCCCGTCCCGGATGGCCCCTCTGTTGGCAGAGCTGCAGCCAGACAGTGGACTTCGCAGGGGACTGGTGTCCCCGGAGCCGCTGGGGCCTACACACAGTCCCGCCCGTGGGCTGCCTCCTAGCAGTTCTGACGCTGGCCTGGCCACCAGGGACAGTGGCTGGAGTTGGGCTCTGAGGGCCAAGAAAGCAGTCAATCTGGAAGCCGATGCTGAAGATGCGTTGGTTTGGCCAGGGTGCTCTTGCTGCGCTCGGCTCTGGGCCCCCACCCAGCACAGGGCAGACCTAGGCCCGGACCCGGAGGCGCTTGGCCACAGGCCTACAGCACGGGCGTAGGAAATGTGTGCTCCGTGCACCCACGCAAATCGGGACGGAGGTCACCGCCTGACCTCCATTGTTTCCCGTCATAAGCTTAGTCTTAGGGCAGGTGGCACTTTTGAAAGGCCTGGATGTTTTGCGGGAGCGTAGGAACATTGTAGTGTTGCTTACGGATCAGCGAAGTGCCTCATAGTCACCGAGTTCTGAGAACGAGGCGGTTGTGTTGAAAACACAGGAACGCGGATCAGAGCTGAACTGTCACGGTGGAGTGTGTGTTGCAGGGTGTGCGTGTGCGTGTGCCTGGGAACGGCCATGGAACTAGGAGGAGGTTCACGGCGTGGGGAAGCCAGGCTCCTTTCTGCAGGCGTGCGTGGTGTGGTATGTGTCCCTGTCTCCCAAAGCTCAGCCAGAAACACAGAAGCAGAGCCCGTCTGTTCCCTGCAGCCAAATCTCTGAGCCCAGGGGTGTGACGCCAGCCTGCTCTCTGTGCTGCACGGGTACCTGGGATGGGGCTGGGAGGCCTCTTGGCCAGGAGAACTGGACTAGGGATCGGGCTCCCCAAGACGTGCCACTGAACCCCAGGAGCAGCAGGGTAGGAGCCCAGGGGCAAAATGCTGAGAAGCCTTCCTGGCAAAGCCGCTTCTCCTGGGGAGGGCGGGGGGTGGGTCACGGGGTCGCCGGTAGGGCCTCAGGGTGAGCAGAACACATAGGCCGCCACCTAGCGACCCGGTGGCGGGAGCGCAGGGAAGAGGGGGCACCGGACAGATGGACAGCACGGGGAGCCCCTGGGAGGATTCTCCCACGAATGTGTTCGTTGAGGCTCAGTGGACGGCAGGTGCTGGCGAGAGCGTCGGGGCTCAGGCCAGCACGGTGTGACCTGAAGGAAGGGCCTGGGTGCGGCACACGGTCAGATCCTCCTGACAGGGACCCAAGGGGGGGGGGGG